TCCAATGCCCCATTGGAGTACGGGCCCACTCGACTAGAGGCATCGCCTCGTCGTGGGCATGGTCCAGTGGTGTGTCCATTGCGAATATTTGTGAGGCGGCTGGCTGGGCCTCGCTGTCCACATTCGCAAGGTTTTATAACCTGGAAGTTCTGGCCTTGCAGGCCAGGGTCCGTTCTGCTTGAAGTGGCACGGTCTGAGTAAACAGATATGGCAGAGAGCCCTTGGCCGTATCATGCCCAAGTTCTCTGGAATTGTTTCACCTGTTAGCTCTCGACCCCTGGGTGTCGAAGTTACGGGAATACTCTGGAACGATTAACCAGGCCAGGTGTGACCTAGAAAGCTCAGCCCGTCTTAGCCTTGGGTTATTGTTGACTACTCTATGAGCATTAGTTGCTTATGGAAGTTTATACCTTTAGTCGTTCCACTACATTAGCACGGCGTGATTGTACTATGTTCCCATATTAACAGTAGTTAATGTGGGAAATATGGGAATATTAACAGTAGTTAATATGTTAATATGGGAACTTAAGCAAGACGCAGTACGAGTGAAGTATCGAAAGGGAACGTACATCCTGTGGCGAGTGCCCGCTTATATAGCCAGATGCCCCGCCCATTCTGACGGGCTTTGGCGGGTTTCGTCGCCATAGGCTCGTGCAGCTCCGCTGCCGAGTCATTGGTTTGTTTTTTAAGCACTGCACGAACCAATGGCCGTGCAGTTTCATTGCGTGAATGAAAACGCTTCAGTTCAGGAGAAAAAAGGCTTTTTCCCATATGCGCCTTAAGCAAGACGCAGTACTCATATCCATATCTCAGGGAACCGAGGTTACGTTAGTAACCGAGTACGTTTTAAATAAGTTACAACACACACACACAGAATTTCCATCAATGGTGTAATAGAACAGAAGAGACTTCATTTACCTAAAAATATACATAATACTGTACATATAAATTGTGTGCTTTACATGTTAAATCAGTATATGAATCAATACATTATACCTCTTCAATATTCTGATATTAAATCAATTAATGCTGACACTAACTATAGATTTTTTTAATTATTATGAAATAATTATTGACAGTGTTGTTGTACACAATGGACTCTTTAATAGACCATACAATGAACTGTTTCTTCTCCCACAAACAGTGACAAAACTTCAGTTTTGAGGTCATTTGACTGAACATGCAATAATATTTAGAATGTTTCACATTAGAGAAAGGATACAGGCTAAAAAAAAAAACAGATGATCATTTACATTTATTCATTTAGCGGACACTTTTATCCAAAGCGACTTACAAATGATGACAATAGAAGCAATCACAATAAAAGAACACCGAAACACTGCAAGGCAGAACTCCAATAAATCATGATGAATGAATGTGTTCTGACTGCTCCAATCACAATGGAGATTGATTGATTATGAGATTTATAATGCCAAATATGATTATAATGCTAAAAGAGAGCTGCTGAATTGATAATATGCACTTAAATGTTACTTAAACAAATCTTTTGTTTTTTTGCATTTGATGACCATTTGTACCTGTAGCACTATCGCCTGCCCTACAGAACAGTCTCAGAGATCTGAATGTTTTGGTGTGTTTGTTTGCAGGTGACGGATATGTCTGGATGGTATCTGACAGGAGCGGATGGGGAGGGGCTTGTGTGGGCGGTGCCCAGCAGAGAGATGGCCCACCAGCTCACTGTCAGCCAATCAGACGCGCAGACTCACCTGACAGCACCGTACTTCTGGAGCGCCCCGTCTGCTTACCTGAGCAAGAAAGTGA